AAATAAAATTTCGGGTCCATCCGATGATTGAAAAGATAAGAATCAAAGTCAGTTTAATTTGCTTCATAATTCGTTAAGGATGTTTAGTGTACAGTGGCTTATTTAAGGAAAAAAGCCCAGGCGACATATGATATAAATGCCCAAGAATTATGAATCGTCGTAAATACTAACTCGTAACTTCCCTCTTAAAATATTGTTAAACTAGATAGGTAATGAACCAAAAAAAAATATATATATACATTTATTTAAATCGTCCAAACTGGATATATTATTTCTAAATAACTTTATCAAAATTATCATTAAATTTAAACAAAAAAAATTTATATTGTTAAACATATAGTATCTTAGTAATGGAATTCGGTAATTCAAGTAATTGTAAATTGTCTTCTGGCTTCAGTAAATATTTCAATAGTTGTGTCTAGATTTATTTTATTTGCCACCGATTAAAAACCCAAAAAATTCGTATTACTGCACATTGTGTCAAAAACTTCATAATAACTATGTTTATCAAACGTTTTTAAAGAAGAATCAGTAGCTTTTTCACCAGTTATTTTCTTAATTCACCGATTTCTCACTGTTGGAAAGTCAGCATGATCTAAACCCATTTTTTCCCTTTTTGTTTTTGCTTTTGCCATGAAATTATTGTAAAATTTTTAATTTCTGAGATTTTTTAATTTTGTTTATGCTGTTGAAATATAATTTTGAGCCATTATCAAATCAATTTCTTTTTTTTTTGTACTGTTGTAGTTACCCAGAATTGATATATCAAAAAAAATTATTAATTGATATATGAAGCATTGAACGCCACCATAACAAATTAAAAAAAACAACCAATTATTTGATGATAGTAATGTTTGAGCAACCATAACATCATCTCCAGATGCTCCAACTCTTGATATCTTATTTTCAAGGCAGTCTGCAATGCACTCGAAATTTTGAATTAAGGCTTTCTCAGCTTTTAAACATGCCGCCCAACGAGTTTTACTCAAACTTTTGAACATTTATGATGGGCAATTAATTTAATGATAGTCAAGCAAATTCCAGGACATTCATAGTTTTGTAAATTTTCGCGGTGATCACGAAAAGCCACGCCTAAACCAGACAACGTTCTTACAGTATCGAAAATAATATTCAAATTTGTGGTCCATTTCTGTTCTATTTTAATTTTTTTGTTGAAATGAAAATTAGTGAACTGAAGACTGGGTCTGGGATCCGGGAGTCTTTAAGAGTAGGGCCCAGGCGGCAAATGTCCATTTTTTCCCCGTTAAATCCACCACTGTTGGTGTACATTTTTTAATTATTTTAGAATGAGTAAAAATATACTTAATTGTTTAACATGAGTTAACGGACAGTATATAATGAGGAGACACATCCATGAGAAAATGCATACCAACAGGTGAACGTAATAATATTTAAAATAATATAATAATAATATATTATAATAATCATGACTATCGTGCGGGTGGTGAGTGGTCAGAAAGTGATAGGTATGTCGCACCATGTGTGCTACGCTCAATCACAGATGACCACAGTTTTATGAATGATACCATCGACAAGTTGTGACAGCGGTTGGACGTAACGTCAGAGTGCGGTCCGTCTGAGTATTATTGGGTTTATCATTTTATTTTAGGAAAATTATCAACCACGAGCGACCACTGATTCATGTTGAATCGAAAAATGCTGAAAATACTTGTTCTAAAATTAAATATTTAAATAAAAATAGAATCGATATATTAAGATAATCAAATCCCTTTTGATCTAATGAGTATCTATCCATACGCACGCATATGTTCAAGCATTTACAATGCACGTGTCTCTGATATAATTATACTCGTATGTTAATAGGAATACCACACCTGTGAAGATTTATTTCATTGACTTAATACATTAAACATGCCCGAACACTTATGATAAAAAAAAAAGTTAATAGCGAAGTGTTAGTTCAATTATCATTAATCGGCTTTAATAATGAACGTGTTCTGATCCTGTGGTATAGTTTTATACTATACAAACTGACCTGGCCATGCTTTGCTATCACTGTTTATTTCAGAATTTTTATCCTGGGGGCGAGAGATGTGGAATGCCATAAAAGTAAATAAAGAAAAAATTTTATTAGGGGATAAGTATATATTTTTCTTTGGAGAGTATTATCCCTTCTCTCCTGGTTAACACCCTGAAATAAACACTGCTTTGCTATACCTAGAAGTATTATTTTCCTAACTGTGTACATTTATTTATCTCAGTAAATATAAAAATTGAACTATTTATAAATGTAAATAATCTATGAATAATTCGTTGTAAAAAATTTTGGGTAAATTAAAAATGACTCAATTCTATCATTATTATTTATTTAATAATAATAATAATAATAATAATAAAATAAAATAAATATATCCTGACGAAATTGTATACATTATTAACTGTTTTAATTTCATCTGTGTTACCAAGATATCAAAAATATTAAAAAGAAAACAAGTTTCAAGGCAGATAGTATTTTCATATTTTTATAAAACAAATATTAGTATTCTAATGATATCAATTATATTCGATTTAATTGTTTGTATGATTGTTATTAAATAAGTAGTTTATTGTGATTAATATTAAATATGATAATAAATGTTATTTAATAAGTAAAAAAATATATTTTCTTGTTTATGTGTAGGTTAATGCATATATCCCCACTGTGACTTCTGCCCAGAGGCCACCAAATATCTAAATTTGCCTCTATACTTACATCAATTGTTATATGTTTAATAAAGAATACATATAAAAAGAAATATTTATAAAAATGTTCTAAAAACGAAGGGTAAAACCCCAGATTTTTAAATAATAGTTCTTCAGCCAATTTTTTTTTTTTTGTGCAGGGCGCACTTAATAGGTTTGTTCGTTTAGGAAAAAAAAGTGTACACTAATTAGTGTAGTGTCTGGGTGAAATGTATGGAGTGTGATCAGATACATGTCTTCAAAACAAACGGTTTTGGTGTAGATTAATCAGCTGATCTTTTTTTATTAATTTTAATAATTGATAATAATTTATTTCTACTGGTAGTAGAATTGAACAATAGTTTAGTAAACTTTTTATATAATATTTCATATTAATAATTAACAATTATAATATTAAAAGAAATATAAATACAAAAATTACACGTGATGGAGTTTTTTTTAAAATTTTTTTCTAATATCCAACATATGCAAAAAACGTGTGACGTAGGAGCGTACCCAAGAATTTTTTATGGGAGGGGGGTCCAAAAAGTTTATTTTATCTGTTCTCTAATTATAATTATAGTTTAACTCAATACCAACAAATTACTGTTAATATACTATAGTATGGTTCATACATTATAAGTATATTATATAATCTATAAACTTTGGGTATTGAAGATAATGGAAAATTAAAATACACTATATACTATTATTATACTATTTACTATTAAATCTTTGAGTAGGTATGTAGACATTTCAATGGGGGGTCCGGACCCGACCCCCCCCCCCTTGAGTACGCCCTTGGTGTGACGTGAACGAACAAATTGAATTATTTTTAATTAAATTTAATCAGTGACTAACGAGTAACCCGGTTTTAAGGCTACATAAAATACGAAATATTGCAACTAAAAAAGGTCGAGTGTCAAAAAAACAAAAGAAAATAACAGATTATTTTGTTTTGGTTTAGTAATGTTTAGTATGGCATGTAATTCCGTACGTCCACGTAATCAACACGTATCTTCAACTTTATCAAAAATCATGTTTTGATTTCATTATATAGAATAGAATATAGAATGTCTTTGTAATTGTAATTTATAAATTTGATTTTTTTTTCTATTGGGTGGCCATAAAAGGCTTAGAATTAACTTTATCTATCAAAATCAGTTATATTTAAATGGCGAAAGTCAAAGTTAAAAAGTTTTTTTATTCTCCTGAACATTTTTTAAAATGGAGATACGTGTTGTTTACGTGGACGTAACGATATGTAGTATATATGTGTATTATTTTTTTCTGGAAATCCACGCGTAAAATATATACGTTTATTGCAAAATTTCTGTTATAACCACCTATTTGAATAACCGTCATAGTCCCGGCCCCTACAGTGACGGATGATCGAGTTTCAACTGTACTTTTATTTTTTTCGTAACTGCATAAATTATTATTTTTTCAATATTATGTAGATTATGAAAATATAATGATTAAATATTTAAATTATATGAACTTACAAACTTGTTACATTTGTTTTAAAAATATTATAATAACAAACCGATTTGTGCGGCATGCTGAAATATTTGCCGATGCGAATTGTTAAACGAATGATCTTAACAGGTTTACCAGTTAATTTATACGGAAAATTTCAACATTACCTGTCAATACATAGGTTACGTGCATGTACGTTATGCTAAATATTAAAATGAGATTATTTGATAATAATCAGAGACCTCGAAAACCGTTCAAAGGTCGACAAATGGCATGAAATAAATGCTCATCAACCGTATTCACTTATCTAGTTACCTATCCATGGGTACTACCCACTTAACTACAGTTTCCTAATTAACAAAGTGAACAACACACGCAACTTACATACGCCGAACTCGTGAATTTGCACCTAGCAATATCATAATAATAATAATAATAATAATAATAAAATAAAGTGTAGACACGTCAACGTCACATTCAACTATTGAAATCGTATTATATTTATATACAATCAATAGGTACCTACTGTACTGTTGAACACATTTCCCGGAGTTTATTGCTAACACGTTTTGTAATTGAACGGTATGATTTATTATTATTCGTTTCATTAATTGATTGAATGATCACTCAATCCAGAAAAAAACAAAATAAACAATTAAAACACATACATACCGTAAACTTTTGATTTTATTATAATCGTCATGTACTCGCATAAATCCAGTACAATTTAGATAAGATGCGAATGGAATAGGTACAATAAAGGATACAAGTGTTCTAATCGCCCACTCAGCTTGCATCGTACATTTATGTACGAGATTAGTGTATATCAAACGCATCAGTGTTCGGACGGACGTAAGACGTTCACTAGTTGCTGTGCGGTCTACTAAACGGCAGGGCTCGACACTACGGTAACGATTCCGTCAGTTTTTAATAAATTACAATAACATCTCACCTATAAAAATCAATATTGTTTTTTTATTTCTCATCGCTGATTTCTAAACGAATCACCACGTGTATTTGCTCAGATGGTATGAAGTTCAATAACATTATACGGAAAATCTAAACCCCGCGTGAATGAGTTTCAATTTGTATATTATCTTTTTTGCACATAACCGTTTATGGTGATTAATTGAAAAATAAACCAAAGATACCTTTATCACAATGACAATTATTACACGTAAGTAAATTATATATAGTATTATTATCTCCAATCATTTTAGTATTATGTCAAACTACATTTTTAAACACTAACCGTTTTCAATAAAAAAAAAATGTTTTTTATGTTTTTTTTTTGAAGATTGTAATTCTTCTAATTTCTATAAAATTAACGATACATTATATGTGTGTAACAAAATAATATTTGAAAATTCGGTTAGATTTATATACTAATAATTATGATGTATTATTAGCATATAAGCACGGATTATTTATATAGCTACCTGTCACTTGCATTTAAATCCAAAAAGAGAAATAATAATTATTCTTTAAATAAATTTATTTTACCGTTAAAAAAATAAAATAAAATAAGATCGAATTAAAAAAAAATGATATTAATTAATTAATTAAAAATAAAACGTATTTCAGTCATATAATTTGGAAATAAATAAAATAATTGGAACCTAATTATACGTAATAAAATTCAGAAATATACTAAATAATTATTAACATAATTAAAATTTTTCTATATTTTACTAAGTAGGTATCATGATACCTACTTTGAATATACAATCGATTGATAAAATTGATAAAATTGATAAAATTTCAATAATCTATTATACTGACATACAGTTTATTATAACTTAACCAGTCTTAACAAACCATTTATTTATATTTCATTGTACAATGATTCATAAAAATCAAATTAATGTACGAGTGTGCGTTTATCAATAAATGTTTTATCATCATATTGTTAAATACAGTTTGTAATTAATAATTGATAATTATAAATTTATAATGTTAAAAATTAATTATTATTTATTCAGTCTAATATATATATATATTGTATAATAAATGTATCTTATGTAAATCAGTTATCATAATCATCATTATAAATATGAGTAAAGTGAGCACCCAGTACCTACCTATGGCACATTTCGTACTTAAAATTCTATCGTATCACAAGTTATAATTATTATTTAAATGATTTGTTTTAATGATGGTATTAATTTGTACAGTATTCAAATCATCACACCCTATGACTTGCGTATTCTATACGCGTCAAAATTATATTCCTCGTAGTACATGATGACTACGGTTGTCAATGGATATATCTGTTATAGTATTACTAATATATATTCGTCAAAAAATTATCATCGGGTTTCACGTAAATATTTGTGTTTTAAACAATAAGCAATTAGTATTACTTGAGCCATCTTATCATGGGCCCGTATTTGTAAATCTGACATACATATATATTTAATTCGTTTTCAACAAGGCCATCGGACAATACTTATTATAATAAATACGCATATTCGTTTGCGCGTTCAATTGACTCGATAACATTAACTTTGCGATGCGAACGAAATAATTATTTCGATTAGTTTTAGACCTTTTGATTGCACTACACGATATCCCCGACAATGTGAGCATTATAAAGTGGCATATACTCTATAAACATAAAACTACTAAAAATATAGTGGTATTTTGTAAAAAGTGTTATTTTCTCACGCATACGTATTACGTTACGTATACAATTTTTTCCGTTCAAAGATTTCCGCCCCTAACACGCGTCCTCAAATGAAATGGATTTTTGCAGGATGGATATCCCAAAGATGGGTGATGGCCTTCATGGGTATGCTGGGTGTGACCATGGCGTACGTGATGCGTGCCTGCCTGAGCATAACACTCACGCAAATGGTCAAGCCCGTGATCGTGAGTGACGATCTACAGACGGGCGTACATCACGAATACTGTCCGATGCCCGAGTTGTCGCTCAACCAAACGAAGACAAAGATAAACAACAAAGGGTTCGATTGGGACGAGCCGACCCAGGGACGCGTGCTGTCGGCTTTCTACTACGGTTACATACTCACGCACTTGCCCGGTGGCGTGCTGTCCCAGAAATTCGGAGGCAAGCACACGATGGGCCTCGGCATACTGTCCACCGCTTTGTTTACGCTAATCACCCCGTACGTGGCTAATATGGGACCCACTGAATTGACCGTTCTGCGGTTCATCGAAGGCCTCGGAGAAGTAAGTGCGACCGAGTTTTTCAGGATGGGGTCCGCCACTCAAGTGCCGTTGGCATATGTAAAGTAATTAGAGTTTCATGTGACAGCGGTCTTATCATATAAATATGCAAAATATGGAAAAGCTTATGATAAGGGATTCTTATAAAATTCTATAATCTAAAATTTTCATTCGCCATATTTTTCTGTAGGTTTGAGAAAATCACTATCACGTGAAATTCTGATTAGCCTGTACGTCAAACTGTATTAATTTCACTTTTCTTTCCCCCTACCTTTCAGGGCACTACGTTTCCCGCACTTTGCACGCTTCTTGCGCAATGGGCGCCACCCGAAGAAAAAGGCAAACTGTCCACGCTGGTATTCGCAGGTATTATAATATACACTATCAGTTACATGGATACTATGCTTGAATAAAAACACATAATTTGATTTTTTTTTCGTCAAACACTCATCTTCTTTGTCAAGTCGTCAGTGTTTAAATTTTTAAATAGCAGCATTTATTTTAAATTTAAAATCCTATGAAAAATATTTTTCTGAAAATGTCTATGTGTATGTACAATTTAAACCAGTAAATATTTATATTTAAAAAAACTATTGGCTTTTTCGCTGTCTTTTTAAGAAGTTTAGGTATAAAAATACTGCACCTTGACAATAAAACGTAATATAGATACGCATTTGAATTGTATACTTCGATGTTTCCAAAAAAATATTCTTCAATTAAAAATAAAATATTAAAAAATATATATATATATTATCTTATATTAAATATTAAAATATTTCTTCAATTAAAAAAATATTTTAATATTAAACAGAATATAATATTTTAATTGAAATTATGTAAAAATAGTTGTTTCAAAAATTTTAGAATGAACCCAGAAAATTAGTGTTTAACGTTAAAGAAATATAATATATCTTTATATATTTACTGAATAGAACGCATATAGCAATAAGCAATATGAATACATGTATAATGTTCTGATTTCACGTTACAGGCGTACAAATCGGTAACATGCTCGCAAACTCTTTGAGCGCGTTCATTATGCACTACATACCCGGTGGTTGGCCAAATGTGTTTTACTTCTTTGGCATCATTTCGCTCATTTGGTTTTTAGCCTGGTGCATGTTCGTTTACAACGATCCACAGTCCCATCCATTTATTTCGGACGAGGAGCGTGACTATTTGAGGCGGACTATCGGCAGTCTAGAGAGGAAAAAGGTATATTAATAGTGTAACAGATAATTCGGTGGTCCTACCTAGAGTTTATTGAAACGATAAAATTACACACGGAGGCAGAGTTATTAACGAGATATTTTATTTTTCATAAAATATTTACTTAATTTAAAAAAAAATTATTTTGAATCTTATAAGTCTGATGGTTATTTGAACTCTGTTTAAATCGTGCACAGCGAGAACAATTTTCTTTGAGTAGGGGAGTAGGAACATAGATCTACCTCGGTAAGATATAAATGTTCAAACCACCCCTGAATCATAGTGAATTATATACGAAAATATTATATAATATGTTTGTACATAAAAATATATCAATGAATGTTTTTCTTTCGTTTGTAGGACTTACCACCTACGCCTTGGAAGTCCATTTTAACATCGTGGCCAGTTTGGGCTCTAATCATCGTCGAGGCAGGACACGATTGGGGTAGTTTTACCATTATCAGCGATCTACCCAAATATATGAGTGATGTATTACATTTTTCTGTGGGACAAGTGAGTCAAAATACACATATTACAATATCGACTCGAAACTTTTTTATTAACGCACAGTACATGTGTATGTTTAGAACGGTTTGTTGTCGTCGATCCCATTCCTCGCCCAGTGGGTAATGTCTATCGGCGCTAGTGTATTAGCTGATCTACTTATCAGCAAGAAATTGATTAGTATCACTGCAATTAGAAAGATTTACGCTATTATTGGTAAACGTTGTTGCATATCCATCGGCGCAAATCGCAAGGGTACAGAGGGTACTCAGAACGTTACATTTTAAAGCTAGTACTCGGAATATTGTGATAATAGTGCACATTATATTTTGTTTGTTTTATCTGTAATTTATTAGTTGCTTAAGCGTTAAGCCCTCCAAAAAATCTTGAGCAATTTGCGCCTATACATACAATTATCGTCTAATCAATAAACGACTCGTTACTGATCGGAAAACGTTTAAAATTTTAGGAAACATCGGACCTAGTATAGGAGTTATGTGTGCTTCGTTTGTCGGATGTAATAAGTTTTTGGCGACCGCTTGTTTTTCCATTGGTATGGCATTAATGGGATTCTGCTATCCCAGCATCCGTATCAATTCGCTCGACTTGTCGCCGAACTATTCGCCTACAATAATGGCATTGGTCAACGGTATCGGTTGTTTGTCGGGAATGGCAACGCCATACGTAGCTGGAATCCTCACGCCAAATGTAAGTTTATTATTTTGCCATGAAATAAACTATTTACATTATATTATTATAACATCATTTTATATCCAGTTAACCTCTAAACATTTTGAAATCAACACTCAAGTCCGTTACGTACGTTAAATCCCTGTTCTATCAATCCGAATAAATATTTTTTTCAATCCCCAAGCAAGAACAACATTTAAATAATAACATCATTAAGTTTTGGTTGATTAATATTAATGAAAACAACAAGTAAAATTTAAATTCGAAAACACTTCTGGTCTGAAGTAAATAAATTAAGTATACACATCGAGTACTCATTGAAGATGAAAGCAAATTATTTGTTAGTATATTTATCTATTAGTTTTCACTATTAGCTGAGAATCGAGATATTATTGAATCATCTTTTTCATTATATTTTTGCTGGTCCAAACTACAGACATTGCATAATGAATATTGCGTATTATTTACTGTTATTAATTTGCATATTAACCAATTAATGGATATTAATAAGCATTTATTTGTTATAATTACCTACCACTTCACTAATCGATTACCTATTCTATAACAATTCGTTTGTATTAGTTAGTCAAATTTCAATTCAACATTCGTATTTTATACAAGATTAAAATGAAATAATATTGAAAATATTGATAGATATTTTCTAATAGTCAAATCTACAATTTTGTTCATCACTAAAAAATAATTATTATACATCAATAATTAATTTATAATAGTTGAAAAAAATAATAATTTATCTATTATTTAATTTGTATAATTATTTGGTTATTTCAGAGAACCGTTTTAGAGTGGCGTCTAGTATTTTGGATAATGATGGTTATTATGACTACATCTTCTCTGATTTTTGGATTGTTTGGATCCGGTGAAATACAACCTTGGGATGACATGGAACAATATTATTTAAAAGAAAAGGAAAAACAAAAACAAGGATTGCCTATGGATGAAAAATTGAGTATAATACATTCAAAATCAATAGAAGAAGGAAGATCAAAATCAATTAATTAATGATCTAATCAAATGGACTTTACTTGTGTTACATAACGATACTTTTTAAAGTTAATTATTAAATGTTACCTATTAATTTGTTATAATAAAGAAATGTAAATATTAGTTTTAATTTTAAATGCCTATTTTAAGTGTAGTCAGTTTAATATGTATTAATATTTATTATAGATGTTTTATTTTGTATACAAAATATTATTTATATATAAGTAATTATTTACATGTATATGTGATTTGTATATAATACATATTTTATATTACATTGAAATTATTACATTAAATTCATGAATTTTTCATGACAGATCTTAAGTTTTATTTTGTATTTTTTTATATAAAAATATATTAGTAGAATTCATTTAGGTGATTAAAATAAATTAATGATATAAAATGGAATAATAATATTGAAAATATTTGGTAAATAAAAGTATAAAAAATAAACACTAAAAAAAACTTAGTACATATTTTAAAGCAGGAAGAGAAATGAAGCCCCCCACGGGTCTGTGTTAAATAATTGCGCACGTGGAACGCAGTTTTCAAATCGTTGGACTGAGCTCCTCTACTTAATTTTTCCCAATTCGAGCACTGTATATATGGCTATGAGTCCCCTCGTGAAAAATGTCAAAGTCCACCCCTGAGAACCCTGGTCATAAATGTACAAACTAAGAACCCTTAGACTTTGAATAATAATAAAATTAGTATTTAGTATTCTAATAGTACTAATATAGAATTATACTCAACTAGGTAAATCAGTTAGTAATGATACCATCAGATTATCCATTCCAATTCAAGAAAATGCATTTTCCTATCAAAGTATGTTTTGCTATGACAATAAATAAATCACAAAATCGAACATTGAAAATTGTAGGAATAGATATAAGAGAAGATTGTTTTTCATATGAAAAATGTTATGTGGCATGCTCTAGAGTTGGTACGCCTACAATTTTAGTTATTTTGGCACCAACAGGAAATACATCAAATGTAGTTTATAGAGAAGTTTTATAATAAAATTGTTGTCATAAATTATTATTTTTTATTGTATATCTATTAAAGTTAATACAAAAAAAACTGCAAATGAATGAACCATGCTCTGTAACTCATTTTCCTAAATTCAAAAGGTAATAAGGGTTAAAAATGAAAAATGTTATTTCTTGGTCAGATTTTTATAAAACATAAAACAACACCAATACTCAAACAGCTGATCAATTTAATAATTTAAACCACAGATGAAGCCGAGTATTCATAATCTATATCTGTATACCAGCACAAGCAAAGCTACTGTCAAAAGCTATAATAAATAAAACAAATAATGATAAAAATCAGCTTAATAACCAATTAATATATATCTGGTATAAAATATTGTTTAAACAATCTTATTTAAATTTTATTAAAATATAAAGACGAGTATTTCAGGGTAGTGTTTTAAAAATTTATTTGAAATTATATGCTATGGAATCACTCGTTAAGATAGATATAAATTATTTTTAATTATTTATTATATTGTTTAATTTGTTGTAAAATTGTTAAAAGTATTATTTTGCTTTACAGAAAATGATTTAATTTTTAGGTCATAGTGGAGAGTTGGATTTGAAACTTACTATGTCACTGTTATTTGGTAAAAGGAAAAAATCAACACTTACACGAGCTGATACAATATAATTAAATAATAAAATTATTGAAAAATATTAAATAAATATATATTTAGTTCAATAATCTTAGAAAGATGTTAAACAATAGTATATAATATTTTACTATTACTTTCATGTAATTATTAAACGGTTAAGAAAATATATAGGAAGTACAATCAAGCAATTATGACTAAGAAATAAATAAAAGAAATGTATCATAGAAATATCTTTTTGTATAATTAACAAGACCCCAAACAAAATTTAAATAAATTATTTATACATTATTGCAAATATTCATGGTACATTATTCAAGAAAACAATTAATTAATTTTTGTAATAGTGTTATTATAATATACATAATAAATATATAAATATTTATTAATTATACCAAATTTTTTTAATTTTTTTATTATTATTAAAATATTCTTAAACATAGCAAAGAAAAAAAATCACACAATATTAACAAGATATAAACGCTTATCATTGATCAAGCGTGAATAGTATCACAGGTTCTTGTTGACTAACAGCTTCAGTCAGTCTTTTACAAAATTAATATTTTCAGCACTCAAAATTGAGAACTAAAAATCTGATTCTAAATTTCTTCGATCCTAAATACTTTAAAGGAAAATAATATTGTTTGAATTACTTAAAGGAACCAATTTTGTTTCAATAATTAGTAGGACCAAGAAGAAAGTTTATATATTTTGAACACAATAGAAATCACTAGAAATAGTACTTCACTTTATGAAAGTAAAATAAAATTCAATTATTTAAGTAAATTAATATGGATAGTTGATTAAGTTATGAAAATATAAATTGTATACTATGATCTGAATATTAAGAATATGAAGAAGTTAAATTATTTACTTTAATATTCATTAAGTTCTGAATTAATTTTAAATTCATACTACCATTATAAGAACAAGGTGATTAGTATTAATCTTGGACGGTTTTTAAATGTATTTATGATTTTCAGATAGCTAAAAAATGATCATGTGTTTGTCAAATAATATTTTTAAGCCTTATAACATAAAAAAAAAAAAAAAATATGTTATAGTCTTTCATGTTATTTTAAAGTACACCGCCATGTTTCTTTCCATTTCCTTTATCACTGATGTTTTGATTAGCTTGGTCATTTTCATATTCAACAAAATCGTCAAAAACACTAGGCCATGCCTCTGTATCATCATAATTAGAAAGATCACCATTGGATACAGATTCAGCAAAATTTAAAAACATATTCCATGTATCCTTAGGAATACCTCTTATATTATCTTGACTTTCCAAAAAATTTAACCAACGTTCAAGTATTGCTGGTTCATGAACATTAAAAACCAACTTCCACAATACTATAGCTGTGTCAACTGGAAGAATACGCTGTCCAACAGCATTGTCCAAACCAAATTTGAAAGTAAACCTGTAAATAAAATATTTTTGTGAACATTATAATTGTAAATAAATTTTATATTATTATTTACCTGTAAAGGCTTTTAAATTCTTCAGTATTATAATTGAGATCATTTGCTACATCAGACAATTTAGTTTTCATTAACGATATTGAATCCACCTGAAGTGTCTGACAACCATTGAAAAATTCTGAACGTGTAAAACGGCACATCTGATGAGCATCACATTTCCATGCTAATATAAGTATCCGGAATTCTTCAGGTGACATTTGTAAATCACAACACAGTCTTTCAATTCCGTCAATTAAAATCAAATCTTCAACAGGATCTCTATAAATGTCAAATAGTTTTTGAACTCTGGTATGGAAACTCTTAACTGAGAAATTATTCAATCGTATATTGGTCAAACGAGTACAGGTAAATGAGGAACGCAAACTACCACAATTATCACTACCCACTGATGACACAACAGGAGCACTGTGAGCTCCATTGCTCAGGGCCATTACAGGAGGATTTAAATCATTTGAATCCAGACCTACAAACACACATAAGAAATAAGTAGTAATATAAAAAAAACCAATATTATGTTAAAAATCAGTTCTTTTCAAACCACTAATTTTTATATACTCTAGTAAATTATTTATAAATATAATAATTTATCAATTATGCCTGTAATTGTACATTTCTTAAACTAAAATTATTTGTTTTAATACAATACTGTATTGTGTTACAGTACTTGTACAATCAATATTTTTGATTTAATATACTTTAGTATACTGTAGAAAAATTTAAAAATTAAAAATGATTAATTAATTATTTAAACTAATAATAACTAATCATATCAATCAATTATTCTAGAGAATTATTTTTAAATTGTATAATTTATTTGTTATTAGTTTATATATTCAATGTTTAAAATTCCTTTCGAATGCTTATAATATCTATTAAAATTAATTGCTCTTGTAATTATTATTGGTTTGTTAGATATATCATTAATATTCACTTAGAAAACAGTGTTACTGATTTATTTTAATTAAAATAAAAAATCTATAGTCAGTGTAGCCATAAAAATGTAAATTGTTTCTTTTAAGTTATAATACACATCTATAGTTTACTGTTCATACTAGTATAAGGTTTAAGATACCTACATCAAAGAATTTTCAAAAACAAATATTATGTACAAGATTTCATTTTCAATCCAATCCTATCAAATAGTTGTTATATTTATTAATTTTTTCTCAATAAAAGATTTACCTTCAATTGTTTTGTCAAGAACATTGTTTAAACCTTCATTGTCACTGTTATTGGCCACTGATCTAGTGGTACTCTTAGAGCGCAAACATGAAAAACAGTTTCCCATTGATCAACAGCAGCAAAGTTAATTGAACTTGTTGAATGCATGTGTTGCCTCAATCTCAAGGTGTTAGTAGAAACCTGTAAAAAAATTAACTATTAACAATAAAAAAAAAAAAAAATCAGAGCTATTGTAGTAATAATATACAGTACAGGTAATATGCATAAGAAAAGATTTGGAAAAGCACTTAGACATGCTCTATGTCAACAAATAATAATTATAGGTATGTTTAAAAAAAAGCACAAGTTCGTCAAACGTCCGTGAACAGTCAACACGGGTACAATTTTTACCTAATGAAAGATTCCCATGATTACGATTCGTTCGGACTTAAGCGTCATCAGAATGAACAGAGTACTATGTTCTATTGGATTGCTAGGTACGTCGTCATTTTCGTATTATCATAAGTGCGTTTCGATTGAGTTTCTTCGAATATAAATTGTGTTACGAACTCAAAGTTGATAAATAAGTAAAAACGTACACGCGCAATGAGCCGAACAATAAAATTGCATTTTAATGGGTACACACAAAATATTATATTAAGTTCTGTTAAATGTTTGTGTGTGTGCGTGTATGTACATTTATTATTACATTATTGTTTTGATACGAGAAAATTATTATTGCACTCGGTGTCTAGATCATTGGTGATCAAACCGTACATTACGTAGGACTGGCTCTTCGAATGATCTCTGCTATCACTCCAGTAATCGACACTCCGAGCTGACCGCGCGCCATCCGTGCGCAACTTCATGTCGGTCGCAGTGCGTCGCACCATGTGCTCGGGTCATAGAGTAAATGTTGACTTTGTCCGCTGTGTTGGCTCTAATATTTTTTTTATGTAATACTTAGGATTCCGTTGTTTATCATAATACATTTCATACATTTCGAAGGACCCCCGAACGTATTTTTACAGCAGTATTTTCAATACATTTTACCAAATAATTTATTCTAAAAAATAAGAACACAAGATTCTTGATTAATATAAAATTTTGTATGGCTTTTTTTTTAATTTCATTACTTTTTTGCTTATTGCCCCGACTACTGAATTTTTATTGAATACTGTTGCGGTTTTTCGCAGTACCCAAAATAATTTTGATTAACGTTACAGAAGTGATTTAAAGGTGGGGCGGAGTAACATTACGATCTAATAAAATCATTGTTATACATTTTGAATGCTTAATACTAAGTGATTGTTATTTCATTTAAGGAAAAGTATTCGAATACTTGGTACACGTTTTTCTTGTCATTTTTATGCCACTCTGTTACTTAAGGGAATTTTCAATGTGATTGTAAATAATACACAAAGTTTTCTTATTGTTCGAAAATATTTTTATCCAGACCCCCCTTGTTCCCCCCCCCCCCCGGTAAAACCACCACCAAGATCAATCATCCTAATCGAAATCATAAGCATAGATATAAAAAAAATATTGTGGGACAAAATAATAGGCGGTTATTAATTATGAGGGAACTTAAAATACGAAATTATTTCAAATTTCGATTAGAATATAAGTTTTTTGCAATATTTTCTCCGTTTTTCTCATTTATTCGGAAAACTGTTGTTAATTAAAATGAAAACATGTTATTTTAATGTAAATTAAAAAAATTAATATATTAATATACTTCTTTTTCTATTTAAATATAAATTTGGATTAATGGAAAAAAAATGTTTAGTTTATTTCAAATTGTAATGCCCTTTTTGACCCTCTCTCCGTTATACGGCATAGATTACTATCATAATTATTTTTATCTTTATATTTTATATTTATTTATTTATCTTTTATATTTAATTTATCTGTATAACGTTATTGTCATTTATAAGTTGTTACGTTTAAGGTTATAAATGAATAATATTTTATAATGTATCATTATTGGGTCGACTAGGTATCAGTTTAGTGTATACATAAACTAATATACCAGTTATTAAAAATAATCATTATTGACGTAATTTGTAATATTACGATTTGTTTTTATCTCGAGGTTTAAGATTAGAACATGCTACATATTAATTGATATATATATATATTCGCCGTGATTAGATAAATGATGATTTTTAAAATTATCGGAAAATGTTAAATACGGGTAAGCTTAAAAGCTGCAATACAAATGTTGTTGTATTGCAGTGGCGTAGCTAGGATTTTCTGAAGGGGGGTGTTAATTATAATTATTAAATATTATATATAATACGTACAAACTAAAACTTTTATTTTAATTAATTAATATGTATACATAATGTCTGTAATAGAGATGTAATGTATATTCGAATTCGGATAGCTTTACCATAAATTATTCGAATATTTGACTATTCGAATATCAGTATTTGATGCTACAATACCTATTATTATTAAACGTTTTGTGTTGCACGAAAACGTAAACGAATAATTTTCGTCACGTATTATCGCAATCGCGATAATGTTAACCTGTATATATGTAATTAGTATTGTGCATTATTTTATATTTCATATTGTAATATCGATTTACCTATATTCCTATAATAATGTAATATATGATACTGCTCAAGGGGGGTGTCATATCTACCAAACACCCCCTTTGTATACGCCACTGTTGTATTGTAATTGTTTACCAAAGAAATTAATATTATTGTTTGAACATTATTAATTCACAGGGATTCAATTACACAATGCTAATCATATTTCGTAATAAAAAAAGTTTAAATTGAAACAGAATTGAAATCAATTTGTTTACCTATAGGTAAAATATTTAATTTTTACATTTTTTTTTTTAACATGATTTGAATTCACGTATTCGTCATAATATGCCCATTAACTATAACACCTTAGTCTCATTTTTTAAATTATATTATTTTGTTATTAATTATTGAATGTATCTGTGTATAAAATTATTATAATTTTTTTTTGTAAATTTAAAACGTCATATCTTCACACCCACCAAGTCAAGTATAATGCATTAAAATATGCTGATAATATTAAATAACAATACAAAAATTTTACTATAGTAAGTATCTGTCTATTGATACGATTATGTTATGATGGAAGAATATACATAATATACATAATATATATAATTTACGCAGCATACCTATATAAGACTCGACGCTTATCTACATCATAAAAAGGTCATATACTTATGAGCAATAAGTAATGGATATTGATAATATGTGGAAGATTAGATAAGCAATGCAATTATATCAAGATTTTACAAACACAATGCATATTAATGTACAATTTGTTATTTCAAATTGTCAGTGCATCATACCTATTGGTATTTTTTGTTAAAATATTTTTTCATTTAATAGGGAGCTTATAGTCCATCGACCACCAGGTTTTTATTCAGTCACGACTAGTAGACAATTAAAACTTCGAGTGAATAGAACTTAATTCAATGGCGACGGGAAGCTTTTTTTACTCGAATCACCGATTTCACTGAATCACCAACCAAAATCATTTACATTACATATTTTAGACGACCACTAATTCACTGCGTGTATATAAATGTTTATATTTATAATTTATAAGTTATATTTCTGTATTTCTCATTTCATATTATTATTAAGTATAACGTGTTCAATGTATGAATATTTTACCATAATAATTATTTTCTTTATTTTATTTTTGCAAAGACTACCCAGCCATATTTTTTCCAGAATTACGTGAATTCACTGCTTTAAATAACTTATAATTTGAATGGAATATAACTTCTTCACTTCCAAAATTCTAACTTGAATAGAAAAAACAAGCATTTTAAATTTAAATATATTTGAGAATTGGTAAATTAGGAAAAACATATTATTAATATAATTTTTGTTTATTACATTATTTAACTGTTATTCGTACTACTATTAAAATAATAATTAGTTCCTATTTATTAATAATAATCTGTACTCAAAAGGTACAACCCGTTAATTATTCATAAATAAATAAGTACAGCATTTTTAGCATTTTGAAACTAATACCTTTTTTAGGTTAATTCAAAATGAATAAATTATTATAAGCCAAGATATCTATGAGTTTTATAATTTTAAATAGTTGCCTCTATTTATCGTTCAACTTAAGACTCGTTAAAAATGTATGACAAAAAAAAAATATATGATATTGTATTTGAATTAACTATACAACAGTAATGCCGAGGGGGGGCACGCGCATTTTGCCGCCTCATCATAGATATGAATATACGACGTTAATGAGAACTATAAACTATTTATAGTTAATACATATTATTATTTATATTTAGTGTTTACTGCAACTGTATAGGAATACAAGCAATATCCTTGTCCGTTGAATCTCGACTGTGTTTACACATTAATGCGCGTAAATATTATAATCATTCGAATAAGATATATGTATAGCCGTACAGGTGTAAGTAAATAAGATTTATTATAACTAAAAATATTTTTCATATAAAACTTTGATCTTTCAACATTAAATTTTATAATACATTTAATAACCAATGGAAAAATTGATTTATTACGAAAAACTAAAAAAATATTTGATAAATTAGTATTTGCGAATGCCGCCTATGAAATATTTTCAAATTTTGCCGCCGGGGGGAAATGCCCTATTTGCCCCCCGTTAAACACGCCTCTGGTAATTGCCCCTCTAGATTAAATTAGTAAGGGCAGTGCCCCCTCTGATATTTAACATACCTTGTTTTAAAATTAGTACAAAACAGCTGATTATAGCTATTACTATAACATTTTTTTTTTAAATCTTAATTTTAAATTTTCGCTTATTTAACATAATATTAGAACATAAATCATTTTATATAATAATATTTTGGTAGTAAAGCGGCGTTTATCCTCGGACATCCTTTTCGTTAGATGTGTAATTATTTTTATGCCCCCCCCCCCCCCGTAATAAATTTTCAAATTACGCTTATGGTAGTTGTAATCAATAGTCCATAGGCGTGCGCACGGGTGTGGCTTATAGGACTATAGTTACAACTGAGACTTTTTTTGAGGTAAATAGGTATTAAGTATTTAGGTAAAAAGGGCTAATAACTCTTATTTTGGAAAATCGAAATTTTTTTGATCAATTTTATAAAATTACAAAAAAATTAAAATTGCCGGGACTGGCGTTCATTGATAATCGAATTGTACATAAGTTTTTCTAATAAATTTTATTTCTACTTACTTACGTTTTGTATATTTATTTTTTTTTTAAGGCGGGTTTTTTATAAGGGGGTGGGCGATCAAAAAAAATAAAAGCCACACCGGAAACAGCCCGAAATCTGCGCACGCCTATGATAAGATTTATTCTATACTTGTATTTATCATAGTAACAATGACCGACCTTCGCTGTGGATCGCTTACCAAAAGAAATGATTACTATTCTTTCAAATGTATACAATGAAAGACGATTAACACTATGAATAAGTATCTAAATTCTTAATTGTCCGTTTTTTTGATTATGGTATTTTGATGGCGTGAAATTGGGATTCGTTTTTCAAACCAAACGATGCCAACATCATTAAGAACAATTATTATTATCTTGGTTTCTACCCGTTATCATCGTTCTCTGTTGATAGTATTCGAATATACGATAATAAATCACAACGTGCTTAAGTAATTTTATTTTAATGTTAATGTTATAACTATATTAATTGTTATTATAGCAAAATGGTTCGAAAATTTAAAACTAAAAAACAAAAAAAAATAAAAGATGTATTCAATCAAATCTCTAAACGCAATGAAGAGTGAGTTTTTTTTAAACTGGTTTTCGTTTATTAATTTTATTTAAATTATTATGATAGTGTTGATTCTTTATTTATAATTCATTTTTGACAACGGAAGTAAAATCATAATATTTTTGGAAATGTTTATGGTCTGTGTACTAAGAATTGAAATAGGCCACTTATCCCCACACATATTTTCATTTGTTCCAAATAATTAGCAGTGCTTAAAATTTGGAGGTGTTTGGAAAATTATTCATAGTATATTTTACTATATAATGTAATCATTAGTTGTTTGTGATCAAATCCCCCTTATTTGTACCTTTGATGTACTTATATATTAAGCTAGTCACTTGTGAATGATTTTATGTTAAGATCTTGTAAAATATTGTAAATTGTATGTAAAAAGAATGTTTAGAATCGTGTAATGCATATGTTATACAGTGTATCAAATGATTAGTACCAAGATCCAATTTATTCAAAGATAGCTCCTATTTAAGTGCCCTGTATATTTGACACTATACATTAAATAGTATTAACTCTAAAATTAATTTTCTAATACTTAACAAATAATAATAATATTTCTTTTAACATCTGAGCACTATATTAATTATAATATATACTTGATTTTGTTATTTCTTTTTTTTCTTTTATTATTTAATTATTTAAGCTTCGTTAATAGTCACTTAATATTTTTTCAGAGTGATAACTGTGTATAAAAAATAATAAATAAAATTGAATTATTTTAAAACAAAATTATTCAACACAAATATTAGAAATTATTCGATACCTAAAAATAATAACTGAAATACTTTTTCAGGAATTTAAATATTTAAAATTAAAATAGTATTTGATTCTTATATAAAGTATTTAAATACTTTAAAAGACAAATTATAATTTTTATAATATTTTACAAGAATAATTAATTTAGATTTATTTCAGGTTAAAAGGAAAAACAAATGAACCACCAAAAGATCCAAAGCGGCAAGATGTTCCTCGAAGCTTACGTGAATTCATGCAACTAAAAAAATTAGCTAAAAATGATTTAAAACATAAAAGTCAACCATACATTGATATAGGAAACAGAGTACGAAATAATAATCAAAAATGTGCATTTGAAATAGAACAAAAACCTGAAGAAGTAAATGTTATTCGAGAAAATGGTGTTGTCATTACAGAATCTGCAGTTGTTCAAACTACAAAAGAAAAATTAATACAAGCAAAACAAAAGAGGCAGTTAAAAACTAAACTGAAAAGAGAAAAAAAGAAAGAGAAAAAAAAACAAAAACTTAATGTAGATACACAAGAAAAAGAAGAACATGCCATTGAATACCTCAAAGACAATTTTGAATTTGGTGAAACTGTTCATTGTCCTCCTACTTTGACAGTGAAACCAAGAAAAGCAGTTATTAATGAATTTGAAAATCGAGTAAGTTAAAAAATATTGTTCTTATAATATAACTTGTTTAGCACAATTGTGTAATAAAATGTTCTAATAAAATTATTTTATCAAAAATATTTTTTATTAAGAAATTTTCAAGTGTTTTCTTTTTGATTTTTATAATACTAACCAACCATAGTTGCTTTTTATAATTTATTACTTTTATTGCCTCTGCAGGAACATATATTATGTTTTAAGTTATAATAACTGTGACTTATGATGAATATCATTTTACTAATTTGTAATTATATTTGTTTGTTTGTAGCCTGGTCGAAAAGATGACTTGTTTTTGAAGTCTATGTTAGTAGATTCTGGAAATTCTAAAAAAGCAAAGAAAATAAATGATGTCATTTTGAAAAAACCTAGTAAAAGTGCAGTTAAACGTAAAGCATTTACAGGTAAACGCAAAGCATTGTCTTTGTCTGATCGAAGAATAATAGAAAAAGAAAGAGATTCAGCTGTATTAGCATATAGACAACTAAAAAAAAACTCATTGAATAAAAATAGTTGAATTATATTTGTAATTTATTTGTTGATCCTTTTTTTTTTTATATATTATTTTACTTGTTTATAATCTAATACTATCTAAGTATTCAGTTTTTAAAACATGTATAATTTTTAGGTTTATATTTTTAAAAAAATATTGTATGGATTTTAATTCATTCTATTATATTTTCAATAATTATCAAAAATCACATGATCACCAAAATTATTTATAAATGTTATTAGTTACATATATTATTATACTGTTTGTCTGACCTAACCTACTGTGTTTAAAACTTTAAACAAGGATGAACATTAATTGATTTGATATAAAATATATTGCTTATATCTTATAAATTTGACTAGATAGGTTTACAAATTGATTTAATTATTTGACTGTTTAATATTATTATTGGTAACTTAAAATTATGTTGCAGATTAATATAAAAAATATTGTTTGATTCTTTTATACTTTAAATTAATGATTTAATACAAAAAACACCACAGTGTCATCATAATGAATATTCTACAAAATGGTTAGTTTATACTTATCTTATCTTTGTGTTTGAGTAGTGTACTAAAAAATAATTAAAATTTAATTTTAAATAAAAAGTAGTAGTACCTACATAACATTCTGAATAACTTGAACAGAGAGGCTAAAATGCGATAACATTATACCTATTATTAATAGGTACATCATTTTGATGTAAATTAATATTTTTTTTCATACAACCAAATTATAGCAACACATTCAATTCAACATAATAGTCGTGTATTATAAAATTACTATAGTGTTCATGTTTTGAATTTAGTTTTATTTTTGTAATTCAAGTTACAAAGTAAATTTTTTAAATTTTTTCTAGGAGGTGATAATTTTGACTTAAGGGTTGCTAAGGACCCAAAACACTAGTTTTGCTGATAGTTTAGAATTAAAATAATTAACCTGAGTTTGATACATTGAGTCAACATAAGAAACATTACTATAAGAACATTAATTTATAAGTTAATGATTAAAAACTAAAATGTCTAACTTAAAAATAATTGAATTATAATTAAAAAATGTCTAGTTAATAAAGAAAAAACAAAAGCTTAAGTAATATGCTACATTAGATACTAAACTACTAAAACTTAAAATGTATTATATCACATAAAAACAATCTTGTAATTTGTATTTTACTAAATTTAAATTACTGATAAAAACATAGTTAAGGTACCCGGGGGACTTGAACTAAACCAAAAATGACTAGTTTCGAATATTAATCAATGGTATAATTTATATAGCTTTAAGTAATAGGCAAGTATTCTCTTTTCTGTGTAGTATGGATTGTATTAAAATGGGTCATCCTAGTGTCTGTACAATTCATGACTATTTTACTTTCAATTAAAATCTTAACGAATTTTCATGCAAAAATTGCGAATGCAAATTAAAATTAAGTTTAAAACCTAGAACTCTCTGCAGTTCGAACTCTAAGTAACATATTTGGTCTTTTATTTAAACATCAGATCCATTCAAGACAAATCTTGGTATATTATATCCCCTCTTTGTTGTCAATATGATCACCTCCGTTTTTTGTACAGCGGTAGTTTTTTTGAGCGTCAAGCCATTCTCTTCATCCATTCTGATACCGATCCCAGTGCCAAGTTTGTAGTGTCTTCGAGTAGTTGCGTGGTTTTTCCGGTTGTAATAACTGCCAAGTCATCGGCGAATGCTACCAGGGAAAATGATGTTACACCTCTCACGTTGACTCCCATGTCCACCTTAAGGAAGTCGTCGTACATTAGATTCTATAAAAGTGGACCTAATACTGAACCTTGAGGTACCACATGATATATTCCTGTTTTCTACCCCTTTGTGCTGGATCGATCTATAGCTGAGATAACTTCGGATGATCAACACGTTTCTCAGTATATAAGAGATGTTAGTATAAATTCTGATTATCATAAAGTACACAACAATATGTTTGTTCTTTATGAAGCATTTTTATTATAACAAATACACATTTCTGATAAACTATCAACTACGGCAAAAAATAGCTGAAGAAAAATAATTATAGAATCATGTCGGTCTATTCATCTAGTTGGACCTAACAGTTTTAAACGGTTATGGGTTGATGAGGAATAAACACATGATGTTACTTCAAATAAGACATTATTTTTTTTTAGAGTATTTAAAAAGACAATATTTTTTGCTTCTGCAACTAATTGTGTTTTACAATACAGATAAAATCTTTTCTATAACCTTTTTAACCTTACTTAAAGTAGAAGAAAATTAAATAATAGGGGGTTACAATATCCAAAACCCCTTCCTAGCTACACATAAATACCTGAATAATAATTTATCATTAATTTTATATACATACTCACAATATGTTCCTATACGGCAAGGATGGGCAACTCAAGGTTACTAGAGGGCCAATTTTTAGAAAATTAAAATCTAGCGGGCCCAAGCATAGAGGAAAAAAAAGGTCATTCAAAATATGAATTTTAAATAACATTTATATACACGGAAATAATAAATTCAACACACATGACAGCACAATAGGAAGAAGCTGATATAGTTAAATAGTTCGGTACAAACATTTATGTTGAAAGCTATGCGTATACATACATATGATATTTAAACATGTTTAATACCAGATAACTATTATTATATTGATAAATTAGAGTATAGACCAGGGATGGCGAATCTTTTTACACCAGCGTGTCAAATAAAAGTTTAAGTTGGATTTTGTTTTCCCTGTGTGTTAACTAGTTCGATAATTTTTTTTTAAAACTTAAAAATTCCTACGTCCACTGTTTGAATGATAAAAAACAAGTCAACTATTACATTATCAAAAAATTTAAATATATTAGATACCAAAAATATAAGTAACACGTAAGTGGGTAAAAAAATTTTGATTTATAAAAAATATAAAATATTGAAATATTAAAATATAAACTTTTACACAATTGGGTGTGTCACTAAAAGAGTGTGCGTGTGTCACTCTGTGACACGCGTATCATAGGTTCGGCATCTTTGGTATAGACGATAAACTTTAAAATTGTATGATGTAATTTTGTAATTTTAAAATATAGCACGGACCAGATAAAAAAGGCTCGCGAGCCGCCAATTGCCCACCCCTGCTATACAGAGTCAGTGACAGTGGGTTTGCGAGGCCCTGGGCAAAATAAATGTTGGGTCTTATAATTTCTATTAATAAAATATTTTAAGTTCAGTTAAATCAGAACCGTGGGGCCTTAATTATAATTTAAAGCGCGGGGCCCTGGGCAACTGCCCCTATTGCCTACCCCTTCGCGCCGTCCCTGTCTCGATGAATCTTTCAACTCGCTGCGGCATGGTCAAGCGACAATGAACAAATATTTTTTGAAAATTCGTTAAGCATAATACCTCTGTCGTAATTATCAAACATAACTTTAATGGATATTTTTTAAACTATATCCAAGGTGTCAGATGCCTAGGAGGTGTAAAGCGTGAGGTCCTAGGGTACTGCCCATATTGCCCCCTCCTTCACGCCGTCCCTGTACGGAGTAGCAGGTAAACAATAACATACTTTAGTTTCTACACATGTAATATACTAATTCTTACACGAATATAAAAATGAAATGTATAAGTTCTTACCTATTAAAGAAAGATGCGTATGTTAGTTTTTAAACGGCGAAAAAAATGTATTTTATATAAGTTCCTACATAGTAATAAAAATTACTTATAATAGTAAATTTATGCTTATGATTGGGTATTTATATTTATTATTAAATCATATTTCATACATTAAATATAATAGTCGCTATATTTATAATAATAATGTCTTTAAAAAAATAATAAAAATAATAAATTTACACATCACACATTTCATAAATAAATAGGATAATACAAAATAATAAAAATCGCAAGATGTAATAAAGTAAAATGTTTTTAAAAATAATATTTAAAATTTTATAAAGTTTATTTCTGAAACTTAACAATTTTACATAATTGTATTGATTAATTTTGTTAGTTGTGTAATGTAAAATTTTTTCATTTATAACATTTTTTTTTTGTATATTTTTACTGATATTTGTTTTTGTATTACTATTCGTGGATCTTATTTTGATAAATATTATAAATATTTTATAAATATAAAATATAAAATATAATTATTATAAATATTACATTATATTATTTACTTAAAAAGTATGAGAATTTCTATAATTTTAAAAATGTGGATGTTAGTGATATAAATTAGAATTAAAATCTGAATGAAAATTGCACATGTGTTTACTGTATGTATTCTATTAGAAGATGCTACGCCCAAATTTTCGGAAGAAAAATACTATCATTTGATAGATGTCTATTAAATAATCTTTTTAGTATTAATAGTATTAATAGTTTTTTTCCGAGAGAATTTCTCTCAATATGTGGATACGAATCGCGTAGGACGGAAACTGACCATTTTTCTGCCGTGAAGGAATTAACATACGCACCTTTTTTTGCCGTGTGGGAACTTACACATCTCATTTTTCGATAATATAGGAACTAACATAAGTATTTTTACTGCTAGGTCTCGTGTAGGAACTTACATTCACCCATTTTACCGACTTCTTATTTATCATTCACTATATATGTATACGGTGCTTTATTATATTTTAAATTTTGAGTTAAACGAGGAATGTATATTAAATTGTAATGATTATTTCATAAATTAGCATAAATTATTTTTCTCCAATCGTATAATCCTTCATTAATATTTTAAAATTAGGCTTAGAAATTTTTTCATGAATAATACATTTTACTTGAACTTTATCAGAATAAAAAAAAATAATTAAATTATACTTAGAACAAAACAAAAATGGCTAATGTGGTAATAATCAAAAATACGCTTATTATAACTACATGTCTATGTTAAAAAATTACATAGTATTTTTATCATCAAGACTTTTTATTATTAATAAGATAGACTCAGAATTTATACTCTTTAATAGTAATTTAAATTTGATAAAATTATATATTAAGACAAATAAATAAAATATAACTGTTAAAAATGATATTAATGTTCTATATTTTTGTG